GTAGTTGTGTGTGTGTAGACTATTTCAAGTGATTTGAGGTCTACGGTGCATTGTCGCAGTGCCCACTTGCTATGGAGCAGAAAGTGTACTAGTAGCAAGTAGCTATGGTACCCCTCAACCCTCTCAAAGTATATATATATATATATATATATGTAGTTGTGTGTGTGTAGACTATTTCAAGTGATTTGAGGTCTACGGTGCATTGTCGCAGTGCCCACTTGCTATGGAGCAGAAAGTGTACTAGTAGCAAGTAGCTATGGTACCCCTCAACCCTCTCAAAGTGCCCCAAGATTTTGGGAAATATATAACGAATATTAGCTTTGTTTTTCCAAGAATCTTTCCTTCATTTTCCCTTTTGGCGTGCAAACAAGAGCATAGTTACAATTTCCACTCTTACCATGATAATGTCATCTAGGCGTTGTCATGACAGGTGAGAAAGTAAATGGCTTTTGGCAACACATATGTTAGAGAGATTATAATATGTCTTGATTAAGATCACAAGTTGTTTGAGTGTTAAAATATAAAAAACAATAGGACTTCAAAAAACGTTTCAGCTGGTTTATAAACGTTGCAGCGGACAAACTGCACAAAACTGTGCAGTTTGGTTCGGCCAATATTTCGGCTGCAAATATTTCGGCTGCAGCCGAAATATTTCCGTTGCAGCTGAAATATTTCCGTTGCAGTCGAAATATTTTTGCAGGCCTCGAGTCCATTTGTGCGCTGCAGCGGGAAAACACCCGCAGCAGCGGAAATTCTGTAGAAAACAATGTTTTCATGAGTTTATTTGATCTAAAACGTTTCGAACCATTACATCCATTGGTGATATGTTTTCATACATATCTAAACACCAATTAGCAATAGATATAACTATTGTAATAGGTGTATTAATCCATGAAAAGAGACCTTTACATTAAAAAGGTACCTTTATGTGAATGATTGTAATGTTTAAAGAGGATGCATTCATTCATGAAATGACACCTCTGTCTTTATTAATTCTTCAGAAAATTTACAGACTAAATATGAATGTTCTGGAACTCAATATCATTGTTAGATATTGTGTTCAAGGGTTTGTTGTATCTTGCATGTAATTTTCCATTAAAACTCATTAGCAAACTTTGAGAAGTGAGGGCAAATAAAACCTTAAAGGAAAGTATTCTTATACGCTTCAAACCCTCTCTTATTTTATGCATTCTTTTCACCCTCTACACTCAAATTCTTCAACAATCTTTAAGGTTTTAACTTGTTGCAATGGAGGTTGAAAAGAACACGGAGTCTTTCCTTAATCTGAATGCCCAACTTGATAGATTTGATGGTACCAATTTCACCCGCTGGAAAGGAACTTATTCTTTCTTCTCACCGTGCTCAAGATTGCCTATGTGTTTGATCTGAAGTTAGAGCCTCTTCTGGAACCAAAGGAGGATGATTCTGAAGACTTGAAGGCTACAAGGAAGAAGCGTGAAGATGATGAAGTCATGTGACAGGGTCATATTCTCAACACTCTCTCCGATAGGCTCTACGATCTCTACAACTCGATAGAGTATCTGGTGGAGATTTGGAACGCTCTCGAATACGAGTACAAAACTGAGAATGAATGTACGAACAAATTCATTATCTTGAAATATCTTAAATTTGTCATAGTTGATACCAAGTCCGTTCTAGATCAAATACATGAATTGCAAGTCATTGTTACTAAACTTCATGAATTGAAAGTTGAAATTTCTGAATCATTCCAAGTGAGGGTAATTATTGCTAAATTGCCTCAAAGTTGGAATGGTTATAGAAAGAAACTCCTTCATAGGAGAGATGACATAACTTTGGAGGAATTACAAAAACACTTGAGGATCAAAGAAGAGACTAAGTCTCGTGATCCTAAGGGCAAGATTATTGATTCCTCTAAGGTTAATGTTGCTGAAGCTAGTAAGTTTTCTAAGAACTTCAAAGTCAATAATGACAAGAAGTTCAAAAGGCCCGGTAATGGCCAAAAGAAATTTTTTAGAAATTGTTTCTTTTGTGGAAAGAAAGGCCATCGCCAAAATGACTGCCGATACAAGAAGAAAAATGAATAAGTTAACACCAACAAGACTGATATTGTTGAAGAAAAATATGAGGACATATGCGTTATGGTCTCGGTGATGCAAATTGGCATGATTACCGAAACCAACATGGTTGCAACTAAATCCTCTGAGTGGTGGCTTGATTCTGGTGCCACAATCCATGTTTGTAATGACAAGAAGTGGAAAAGGAAGGACAAATGGTTCTCATGGGGAGTAATGATGCAGAGATGGTTGCCGAGAGATGAGTGGTGGAGATCAACTTTACTTCCGGAAAGAAGCTTACTTTGAACAATGTTCTTCATGTTCCTGACATTTGGAAAAATCTTGTATCCACTTGTCTAATGTGTAATAATGGGCTTAAGATTGTATTTGAGGGCAGCAATTGTATTGTATCTAAGAATAGGATCTTTGTGGGAAAGAGATATTCTTGTGATGACACGTACAAACTTAACATTAATAATAAAGATGATATGAATTCTCTTTATATTGTTGACTCTTTTGATGTTTGACATGCACGTTTAGCACACTTAAATTTTAGATCTTTGAAATATATGTCTAAACATGGTTTAATTAATTGCAAAGATGTTAAAAATATAAGTGTGAGATTTGCATACAAACAAAGATGACTAAGAAACCATTTCCTAGAGCCGAACAA